GTATTGGTTGTCTTGTTTATGTTGAGCGGATGTTTCAAAAAGGATGACGAACAAGTTGACAATAACCAAGCTAAGAAAGACGGTTCTCGTGAGAAAGGTAATCCTCGTGAAACTACTATCGATTGTTGTGGTGGTGTTGGTGGTGGAGACGGAGGAGATGGAGGTGGTTGTGGCGGTTGTGGTGGCGATTGACAACCTATCGGTTGCAACCATGCACCCTCATGTTTACACTTTATTTGTATCTTTTTATCATTTAATGTTGAATAAAGAATTTAAAATATTCGAAGAAAAGAATGACATGTATTTACGTGATTGGTAGGACTGAAATGTGATAGAAAATTTAGTGACAACAGATTTTTATTCAAAAAGTAAAGCATGAATGATTAATCCAAAAAAACGTGTTTATGTAACACCCCCCCCCCCCCAACTATATACCATTTTACTAACTTTTACATTAACTTAAAACTTGATCAAAGTTATCGTCTTATTGGTAACACACAACTTGAACAGTCAAGGATTTCATATGATCTCATTTTCTATCAGCTTGGGATGGATTGTTGTTTCTCGATCTAGGGTTTGTCCCGAGTTGCAGAGAAGTTGTTTCGCTTGTGTCTGTTTTCCATTTACATAAACTCTAACTATTTTATTAGGATTTTACTACACAAAAAAAAATCTACTTAAGCGTTCAACCAACCATTCCTTGTAAAAACCCTAGCAGCCTTGTTGACCAACAATTTTAATCTGAATTTTATATTTTTCTTCGCTACTAATTCTTATTTAATAGTTTTAACTTTAACTTGGTTTACAAGTTCTGTCATTGTTGTTACTGTTGATGATTTTAGTGTCATCAAGAGTTTTGGTGTAATAGTAACTTACATGGGATCGACTAGGTGGCAAGACAAGCATAGCATGGTGAGTGGGATACTCACAAATGTTGTATCTATCACCTTAAATCGTCATAAGGTAGGGGCAAGAGGTTATGCACTTTGCGAGGTCTAAGGTGCAGCGCCTCTGTCGTTGGTCCCTAAATATTCTAAGTGTATTTCCGAAGGCAAGAAACCTCATTAACTCAGTTCAGAATGTCTATGAAGACTAACTCATAAGCTTATGAGTTCACGTTCAGAATTTAAAAGCTTATGATTCTAAATACCTTATGATTAATGTTTGATCTTATCCACCCACACGCAGTTACGTAACTGTTGTGCAGTTATTAGAATCGCCTGACTAACCTGTAACCGTCTATCTCTCCTATAAATGTGTAAATCGTTGAATCTAGGTGTATATATACTTATCGATTTTATAGTCTTTAAAATTAGAGTGATCATTGGATTATCCCAATACTCAATTCGTGATATCCAAGACAATATACGGTCGAACTAACGTATTTGGAAAGCAAACATATTGATTTATCGATATATTTTGATTAAGGAACCCTCGATTTCTAACAATTACCACATTTTTATATATATATATATATATATATATATATATTAATTTAATTAGTAGTAAATGTTATTTTTAGAAACTTTATCTTTTATTATTTACCAACAGGCTATAGCACTTACTCCTGTTCATTACATTGAAGCGCATAATTGGTTGAAGATCATCAGACGTTTTAAATAAAAGACGATATATGTCCTATTAACCAGTTTCATGAAAGTTAATTAATCGTCATTACTATCACATATCAATTGGAATATCTTAACATAATTTAAAAAGATCTCTACATTTTCTAACATTCGATAGTTCGTATCATGTAATCGTTAAAGAATATCGTTGATATATTTCCTTAAGAATTAATTCTTTTTAGACGATATTTAAAACTAATTTATTATAGTTTTATTGAGGGGGTGTTTGGGATTGCTTATTTAAAACAACTTATGTTTTTTTTTGTAAAAGTGCTTATTAACTTATGTGGTATCAAACCGGAGTTTTGTAAAAAGTGTTTGGATTAGCTTATAACGGTACCAAAAAACAATAAGCTGATAAGTTATTTTTTAGTGTTTGGCAAATTTTGCTTATATACGTAAAATGACTAAAAAGGACAGTTTTCTATATTATTGACTTATTTGATTTTTTTTAACATGCAAAAAATTATTTTTCATCATTTATAATAATATCTTTGACAAAAAATTATATCAATAAGATTAATAATTAACAAACATTAATAAAACAGGGTTAGAATGGTAAACTGATAATAAGCAGTTTTTCATAAATCAAGAAAGACTAACTTATCAAAAACTGCTTATTACCAGTTTGGCACCGGTATAAGCAGTTTTATTTTTCCTAATTCAAACACTGACATTTAGTTTATCACCGATGTCAGACTGAAATAAGTCAAAAAATACCTAAAATAAACAATTCCAAACACATCCTTTATTGATTGTGATTTTTTTTAAGAAATGTTGAATTCATCAAATATAAGGAAGCTTTCATCATGTACCTTCCTTGAGCTTTCCTAGCAATTTTTTATCATTAGAAGATGATTTATTTTTGTTACTATTAACTTATATTAATATATATGTCAATTTACGTTTATAATATATAAGCAAAAGGTACACCGTCTAAAGGTTGAATATAAGTCTTTCGTATTTAGTTGTTTTATTTTTCATCGTCTGAAAGTCTCGTATTATATCTTCATGGGTGATGCAATTCTAGTGGTTGTTTTAGTGGTGGTGTCTGTGTGCGCCTTGTGCATTTTGTTTGCATGTTTCACAGCTAATCAGGAGGACGAACGAGTTGACAACAACCGAGTTGAGAAAGGTAATTCTCGTGAAGTTGCTATTAGTTGTCCTGGTGGTGATGGAGGTGGCCACGGGGGAGATGGTGATGGTGGTGGAGGTGGGTGTGGTGGCGGTGGTGGGTGCGGTGGCGGTGGCGGGTGTGGTTGACAACATCAGTTGCCTTCATGCACCCTCATGCTTACACTTTATTTTTCTCTTCTGTCATTTAATGTCAAATAAGTAATGGGTCTTTGTTGGTGTATTTATATAATTTTTTGATATTGTCATGTATATTTGGTTATCATATAAAAATCGTTTAAGACTTTTATCTAAAATTTCGATTTTCTACGAATTTTGAATGTCAAGTACATTATTTTTAAAATTGACATGAACATATTAAAAGTCACTGATGAGACCTAAAAGAATATGTTGTCTTAAGTTTCGTGTTTATCAATTAGACAACGTCATATCAGTTTGTTTAGGATAAAGAATAAAAGATGAATTAAAACATGTATTTAAATGAATGGTGAGACAGAGAACTAACAGGGAATTTGAAGACAACGGGTTTTCATTTTAAAAAATAGAGCATGAGTTATTAATACAAAAAAAAAAAAACATGTTTATATACCACCCCAAAAACCCGCAAAATTAAACAGTCTTAATAACTTTTAAATCAACTTAAAGACGTGATTAAAGTTATTGTTTTGTCGATAACATGCATAAAACTTACATTTATAAGGATCTCACATATCTCATTTTTATAAGACGGGATGGTTTTTCATTTCTCGATTAAGTGTTTGTCTCGGGTTGTTAAGTTTATAACTATAAAAAAGAGTACTATATTTAACATTTAGGTTTCGGCATAACAAAGCTTGCACTGTCTTTACGCGTTTTCCTGTTCACGTCTTTTGTCTAAACTGGAAACTATAACGAAAGAGAGCGGAGGTCCCTTACCCAACCAGAAATCGAGGGGATTAATATAAGTCCTTGGTATCACATTTGTTTTGTTAAAAAAAGTTTCAGGTTTTCTTTTCCAAAAAAGGCATGGGGCATTTGAAACCATAAACCTTCGATGAAATTTCTATCAAGAGGTTCATCGTTTTGAGTTTTGCAAAGTTACTAATGATTTCTCTGACTGTTTGTCTGGACACCGACGGTTAACAAATAAGAAAAGAATTCTACCATATATTTGATTAATTTAGGGTGTGTTTGGGACAAGGGAAACGGTAAAACAAGATTGAACAAGAACTTACAAGACTGAAATAGGACAGAAGCGAGTAAAACGACAAATTTGTATTTCATATATATAATTACATACATACACATATATGTTTTCTATTAATTATTCAACAATATAATGATACTAAAAAAAGTACATTCATATAAAGTTAATTAATATTATATCAAAAGTTTGTTATCACATATTCATAATAGAACTTGGAAAGATTTTACAACTTTATTTTAACTCTGAGTCATTGACGTGTGTGAATCCACAAACCGTAAGTAATGTGATTAATTAAGTTTGTAAAAATATAAAATCTAAAAGTTACAAGTGTAAAAATACAAAAGTCAAAAAAATTGAAAAACGTTAGAGAAACGCACGCCATGACGGGCCTCAAGACACCATGGCATGTAAAACTATATCTCTCATGGTTTCACAAATCCATAAATGTTACATACTCACGGTTAAAATGAAGTTGTAAAATTACTTTTCTAAGTTCTATTTTAAATATTTAATCAAAAACCTATTTTTGTAATAATAATCTATATGAATTTTCTTCTTCTAATATGAATGTACATTTTTTTAATATCATTATCTAATTAGATAAAATATAGAAAATATATATCTACATATATAGTTTTATATATGACATATTTGCCATCATACATCATGCCTAGAAAAATATCGCGTCCTCTCCATGGCACACCTTGCCGCCATGTCATGTCTCACGTCTTTTTGAACCTTTGGCGTGAGTCATCCCTTGTATAAACGCTATGGAGCTTAATGTAATGGCGAAGACGTGTCTTACGTCATACGTGCTATGACGTACGCCATGGCGTGCCTTTTGGAATACTGAAAATAGATGGAACAGAAAAACTGAAAAACAAGATATAAGACAATATACGTTACTAAACTACCCATGTCAAATTAAAATCTTTACAAATTTTTAACCCGCCTACCTCCCTCCCTCTCGCTATTCCTTTCGGTGTGCCAAATACACCCTCATTGGTGATAAACAAGAAACAATTTAAAAGCAAAAATACATACAGAATTTAAACTGGAACATCACCATATATAGCAGACAATCAAACTGCATTTCTTTCTCAATGTTGAAACATACAAGTTGTAATTGTAATAAGAGGGCACAAAACAAACAACATAGATATAATGCTGTTCAAATATCTAACCTTAACATGTGATCAACTATGTGTTCGTAAAGAAATTGACGAATTCCGTCTCTTCCAACAGTCGATAAGAAGTTGGAATTAACGAGTCGTTCTAATCGATCTTGACCGATGAAAAAAGATAGTGAACAAAACAGAAGGATGTGATCAAGCCAATGGTGCCAGTAGCCAGCATGATCGCAACCGCTATGATCAGCGAGTAACCAAGATAGAGTATAGCTGATACTGGACCGCTTAAACTCTGCAGTTCAAAGACCAAATAGTTTATAGAATACAAGAACACATAGAGCGAAACCGATCCAGAAGCATAAAACGCTTTCCACCACCACTGCCAGTCTTCGACACAAAGATGCATGTAAGTGAGGACAACGGAAACTTCTGCACAAACAACGACCAACAACAGAAGAACGACGAGCAAAAATCCAAATACGTAGTAGAATCTTCCAAGCCAGATGCTAGAAAGGATGAAAAAGAGTTCGATAAAGAGGGTTCCAAAAGGAAGGGTTCCAGCACCAAGAACTAGTAGCCATGAAGGGTATTTTCTTGCAGGGATTTCCCTGGCGATTTGGTTGGTTCGAACCGGGTATTGCCATGGCTCGGATCGAGTCCCTAAGTATCCTCCTAAGAGGGTGAGTGGGACCGAGATGCAAAACCAGAGTGATAAAATTATGAAGTACAAAGAGATGGGAATGGCACCAGTGCTTTTACTGCCCCAAAGAATGAAATTTAAGACAGTCAGGATGATGAAAACGACCCCGGGGAAGAAACAAGCAATGGACCAAGAAAGAGATCTCCATCCTTCGGATGTACCCTTGATGATACGCCATAGATATACACCAGCATAACCGGCTCCAGTTCCTAAGAAAAGATAAAGTATGATCATTCCTGTTAAAAGCATACCTCGTGAAGCTGGTGACATAAAACCCAAGGCAGCGAATACGATGGTGACCACAGCCATTCCTGTGATTTGAACCCCATCTCCTATCATTACACATAGAAGTTTGGAGTGAGTTGGTTCGCGAAACACGTCACCAACAACAAGTTTCCACCCTGACAGTTCCTCGTTCATTTGTGCTTGAGATTCTTTGTCAAGTTCTTCATAACGGGTGAGATCCCTTCTCACTGTTCTTAAGAAGATAACAAAAACAATACCAGCCAAAAAGAAGATCACCATCAATGAATTAAGAATGGAGAACCAGTGGACACGAGCACCTTCCATCTTCAGATAAGCATCCCAACGAGATGGCCATTTGATATCACTCTTCACGAATTCAACCTCATAGGTAAAAGATATTCTCTCTTGTTCCCTTATAATTTGAGACTTATCCAGGTCCAGTGGGCAGTTCACAGATGGCACTTCATCATATCGATGGAGTTTAGCCATCTTTTCAGGTTCATATTTAACACTGCATGGGAAAACCTCAAAACCAACAATCTCATATCCAGAAGCTTTCTTCTCATCTTCAGCTGCTGATATTACACCCATACCTTCTTCTCCTGTCCCAAATATCTGGACACCTGTGCCTTCGTACTCGTGCACAAGGACCTTGAACTTTAGGTGATTGATAATGTAATCATCATCGCTGTTGGGAGGGGTGTATCCAACAGGGAACCCAGTCCACTGAACTTTAAGTCCATTCTGGTTGGCAAACCTCATTGCAGGCAAGTTATCCAAAATCATATTAACTTGATACAAATCACGAGTTCTCTGTTTTAAGAGCTTAACCTCATGCTCACTTAATGGATGTGTTGTGCATAGGAAAGCAGTCTCATTGACATTCATCCGGAAACGATAGGGAGAATTATCAATCTGGTCTCCCATAAGTAGCTCTCCAAGATTCTCTGCACTTTTCTTTATCCCCCCTGGAGGTGTGCAGTATGGTAGACTGTAATAACTAAAGGGAAGCTCTGTCTCGATTGATGTCAAAGAATTAACTTTGGCATATATTTCATCACGTGTTGAATACGTATGCATGTAGCTTCCAGGCAAATAAAACCCATTACAAATATGTGAAACAAAAATCACATAAGTGAAAAGAAGCCAGTAAGTTCCTCTTGAGATCAATGACAAAGCCATTGGTCTTCAGGAACACCAAACAGATATCTGGAGACTCACTCAACTTAAGCCACGGATGCAGTCACGGGTGTCACAAAACCTACAAGGTACAAAATGATTGTCAGTTCTCCGGTTGTTCTCTCCAACCATATCAGTTACAAGCTTAGCAATGATGGATCTTTAAGGGTCCTAATCAGATTTAACCGTTTACTACTTTTTTCCCTGGTTTTAGTTTTGTTCAGTCTTCATATAAAGCAGGATGAACTGAGAGATTGCCACAATGCCAAATTCAAAGGAATTGTCTTCACATAGTGAACCAAAGTAAAATTAATAAAACTAACAGATAAGTCAAATGTAATCGCATCTAATAGGCTTAAGAGACCACAATAGAATATTAAGAAAAAACAAGACTCTTTCTTTTTGTGTAAAAAATTATTTAGTGCTCTCCTTTTCTCTGAGAATAAACTCGGTATGGTAATAAGGCCTTGAGAACTTCCCATTTAAGAATAATCAATTTAGTGAAATACCAGCAAGGAAACAAATACCTACAGGCTACAGCAGCAGGAACAACATCACATGTATTTATTCTAAATCAGCTCAGATTCAACTACTTTTTGTAATTACAGATTCAGTTGTTCCAAATTAAGAAAATCATCCAATGGTTCAATTAGATCAACCAAAAATGAGTACATTCCTCTGTTCCATAAGAAATGGCTTCCTATGTTTTGGAACGAATATACATCATAAATGCTGTTTTGAGTACAGCTTCTTCTACTTGTGTATTTACACTAAAAACTGAATCCATAAGTTAATAAATGAGCATACACTGAGGAATTAATATACATAAATCTAACTAATCTCAAAATCGGAAAGAATAAAAAAAGGAAAACAGATCTGGAGTAGTAACAGATAGATCAAGAACACCGACGGTATTAAAATCCTAAAGAATAATAGTAATAATAAGCTGTAACAGAAGCTAGTTAATTCTACTTCCGGATGCATAACTAATAACTACACACACACACACATATATATACACATATGTGTGTATTTAGTATTAAAAAACAAAGTTGAAGATGGAGAGATGAGAAACGCACCATTTGTAGATCTGGAAAGTTGAGTGGAACAATGGCGAGGGTGAGGTGGAAGGAACTCCTTAGGGTTTAATGAAGAAGAAGAGGATTGAAATGACAACCAGAGGGAATGAATTCGGAGGTCGGTGTGGTTTTTAGATGCGATCTACTTTTCCTGTGTGAGTGCGTAAAACGTCGTGTATGAGTTACCTATCGCCCTTTATATATATATTCTTTTGAGACCTTAAATCCTTTTAATATTATTTAGAGTGAATTACAAGTTTAGTCCATATGGTTTGTTAAAAGTAACACTTTTTATCCATATAATTTAAAAATTACAAGTGGTTATTTTGGTTTGAAAAACGTTTGAATTTGTCCCTTCCTTTAAAGATTGTTTAAAGAATATCCTTAACTGAGTATTATTTTATCCATTTTTTTTATCTTTTATCCAATCAAAATCGATTTTATGATTATGGTCTATTGGTCTATGTGGTTTTTTATTGGGTACAATACAAAAAAGAAATCGATAAAAAAATAAGCATGCCCCTCATTTAATGACCATTAGAGGAAGTGATCAAATCCAACGTTTTTGTAAACTACGATGATTATTTTGTAAATTTTGAAACTATTAGGATAAAAAGTGTTGATTTTTGACAATCTATAGTAGGGGTGCTCAAAAACTCGATCAACTCAATCCAAACCCAACGCGAATATAATTCAACCCGAGGTAACTCGATGTGTAATCGAGTTGTAAAAATTTTAACTCATAGGTACTGGGTTGATATTGGGTTAGTATTATTTGAACCAACCCACCCGATGAACCTGATATTCTTTTATTTCTTGGATTTAATACAATTGTTGATTTTTTATTAATATATATATATTAGACAATTACATTATCACGTATGCTTTTCATATACACATATTTTCAATATATTCACATCTAATATATAACTCATTGATATATATATATATATATATGTATGTATATATATATATATATATATATATATATAGACTTGGGATCATGTGAAACCAATGGTTTTTTATGAGACCTGTAAGACCAATTCTCAACCCTTGGATTAGATTTACAATCGTCAGATCTGAACATTTATAAACGCCACGAGACTTCTCAATAATTACAAAATTGTCACCTTG